GTCTGTATTGTGAAGCTGACATGATACTCGACTCACTCAGAAAGTCTTTTTTGTTCACAGATAACAATTGGTGTATATGATCCCTGTAACTTAGCCCAGTACCCTGGATGGCCTTTGAGGAATTTTTTGGTCCTAGCAGCCCACAGATGGTATTTACAAGAGTGTGTGTTTGTCTGTCTGTCTGTCTGCCTCTGTCAGTATGTGTTTTACAATGTGTCTGTTTCTATCTGTATCTCTGTTTTCCCAATCACATTTTTTTTTTCATTTTGGGCATGGAAACCAGGCAATCAGTAAATCAGTCATAATCCAATTTCCATATGAGGCTTAATTAGGTCTCTTAGGGAGCCACATACTCTGATTATTCTGTACTAAAGATGTTTTAGCATATGGTAGAGTTGGTAGCCACAGGTCCTGACACAAATTCTGTAGCCCTCCCTTCTAGCTGTCTGGGTTGCTTTCAGATAGGATTTTCCTACTGCTGTCATTCTCCATTTTTCTTAACCCTAAAATAATTAAAACAGAGGATATCTTAAAAGCCAGTATACATTTGAAAAGATGCCCAGTATCATGTCATTAAGGAAACAAAAATTAAAACCATAATGAGATGCTTCTACATATCCACCAAAAGTATTTAACAAAAACGTCCATACCAAGTGTTGTCAACAATGTGGAGCAACCAGTACTCTCAAATACTGCTGGAAAAACGTTGAGCAGTATCTATCAAAATTAAAAATATCTATGGCTCAGCAGTGTTACTCTCAAGTAGATTGCTCACTGAAATACATACATAGGTAGAAGCAGAACACATATACAAGAATGTTTACAGAAGCATTATTCTTAATAACCAAAAGCTGGGAATAACCCACACGTTCTTCAATAATGAAGTGAATGATAATTTTTATAGTATATCCCTTACAATGAAATACATGTTACAGTGAATCTGAGTGAACTATTAACAGAAATCAACATGAATGAATTTTAAACGCTTAATATTAAGTGAAATAAGGTGGACCTAAACAATACATATTCTGTGATTCCATTTATATAAAGTTCAAAACAGGCAAAACCAATGTATGGACTAAGAGTAGTTGTTACTTTTGAAGGGAGTGGTTAATGACTGAGAGAAGGCATGAGACAGCCTTCTTTATACTTGGGATTTGTGTAATTTTCTTTGTGTCTACTTTACTTAAATAAAAATGTTTATTTAAAAATACGAAGATAGACAAATTACAGATTGTCCTTTGAGGGAGACAATCCACAATTATTCAGGTGGTAAGTCTACAAAGTGCAAATGGACTTCCTAACTACTGACTGAGGTACTACTGCTTAGAGGTTTTTTTCTAAATGTCTTGTGAGCATTTTTTCCCTGCATTTAAAAGATCTGTCAGAATTATATGCAATATGATTGTAATATAAAATTCACCTCAGCCAGTTCATTGTTCAGCCTCTAAACACTGGTCAGAGAAACAATAATATGAATATGTTCAAAAAGGTTAAGACCATCTCCCTTGGGTGTCAGAGGGGCATAATTACAATGCATTGAATTCTCTCCAACTGGTTTGCTGAAGCTCTTATGTGAGCTTTTTCTTTTCCTTCCTTTTAACAAAAATAATAAATAAATAAAAATCCGGGCATGACAACAGGAGTAGCAGTTTCCAGTCTGTTGAAGTCCTTTGCTTCCGTGACCGTACCATGCAGGGGGCGAGAGATGTTGCCCACAGCATCATCTTCGAAGTGAAGCTTCCAGAAATGGCATTTAGCCCAGGTAATTTGCTGGTCTTTGAAAATGCATATAATTATCATTTATCAGAAATGGAACCAGGTTTACTTTCTTTTCATCCCTTCACAATGGCAGAAGAAAGGAAGAGAAAAGTACAACTAGTACCTCTTTGCCAATGCAGACACCTACTTCAAACAGAGGGCACGCTCTGCTATTCAGACTGGAACAAAGGCAAAGATTGTGACCAGGAAATTTTCTCTAGGCATTTTTTTCAGTCTTCAAGATTTGTTCTCCTCTGCCCCTTGTTTTCAATTTTACTTTTGTTTAACACAAAATCTTTATTCCTGTCTATTCTTAAAGGAAGGATGAAGTGTTTTTTTTGTTTGTTTGTTTTTTGAGATGGAGTCTTGCTCTGTCGCCAGGCTGGAGTGCAGTGGCATGATCTCCACTCACAGCAATCTCCGCTTCCTGGGTTCAAGCAATTCTCCTGCCTCAGCCTCCCGAGTAGCTGGGATTACAGGAGCCTGCCACCACACCTGACTAATTTTTATATTTTTAGTAGAGGTGGGTTTCACCATGTTGGTCAGGCTGGTCTTGAACTCCCAACCTCAAGTGACCCACCCGCCTTGGCCTTCCAAAGTGCTGGGATTACAGGCGTGAGCTATCAAGCCTGGCCTCACATATATTAATTTGTTGTTCCTCACACCAACCTCATGGTTCCAAGGCACATTTCTTTCCTTATGCCATAAATATGCCTTAAAATGTGTGTGTGTGATGGGGAGGTGGTGTCAAAATCTCTTTCAAGGCCGGGCGCAGTGGCTCAGGTCTGAAATCCCAGCACTTGGGAGGCCGAGGCAGGTGAATCACCTGAGGTCAGGAGTTGGAGAGTGGCCTGGCCAACATGGTGAAACCCCATCTCTACTAAAAATACAAAAATTAGCCAGGAATGATGGTAGGTGCCTGTAATCCCAGCTACTCAGGAGGCTGAGTGGGGAGAATCACTTGAACCTGAGAATGGAGGTTGTAGTGAGCCAATTATGCTGCTGCACTCCAGCCTGGGGGACACAGCAAGACTCTGTCTCAAAAAAAAAAAAAAACTTCTGAGATCTTTTCTAGAGTGCTAAAATCAGAAGGATTCAAGATTGGCTCAGATGACATTTTTTCAGCGATTCAGTGCTCTAACACAGATGTCTTTACAGACTTCGAAAGATTGACAGAGCACTTCTGCTTGATCAGTCAAAGGAGGAAACTGCTTTTCAGTTTAGAGCCTTTGCCTTTCTGTTGTCTTTAGATATTTGCATTGGATGTAGCACCCTCTTCTGGCAAATTCTAAAATAGCTCCTGTGTATTGTTAACTTACATGCCATACCTTTGTTTTATTAAACCACACTTAAGGATAGTCACAGGAGTGTACAGTCTTTTGGCTTTCCTGGGCCACATTGGAAGAATTGTCTTGGGCCACACATAAAATACACTAACACTAATGATAGCTGATGAGCTAAAAAAAAAAAATTGCAAAGAAATCTCATAATGTTTTAAGAAAGTTTATGAATTTGTGTTGGGCCACATTCAAAGCCACACGGCGCTGCCAGTTGGACAAGTATGGTCTCAGGGAATGAGGTGAGAGTTAACTAATGTGGATCTGGTTTCTATGTCTGACAAGCTGCCAGGCACCTTCCATGAGGTACTCACTTAATCTTGCCAACCACCCTGTGGGGAGTCAGTTTTCTTTCCATTTCTATGACAAAGGCAGAGTTATTCTTACACCCTACTCTCTATGGTAAGGCTCACGCTTCGCTTGATGATGTTGACTTTTTTTTTTTTTTTGGCTACAATGTCTGACTCTGTCGCCCAGACTGGTGTGCAGTGTCGCAATGTCAGCTCAATGTAACCTCTGCCTCCTGGGTTCAAGCAGTTCTTCTGCCTCAGCCCCCTGAGTAGCTAGGACTACAGGCGCATGCTACCACACCCGGCTAATTTTTTGTATTTTAGTAGAGACGGGGTTTCAGCATGTTGCCTAGGCTGGTCTGAACTCCTGAGCTCAGACAGTCCGCCTGCCTCAGCCTCCCAAAGTTCTAGGATTACAGGTGTGAGCCACCATACCTGGCCAATGCTGACATTTAAACCCAGGAACCACACTACATTTCCATTTGAAAAAGGTTTTCTATCATCCAGTAAAGCCTTTAACACATCTTCTTTATGCCTGATATTAAATGTAGATTATTTAGCTTAAGAAAGGCAAATGAATTTCCTGTTTTTCATGTAAACTAGTGTGTTCCCTCTTAGCTGTAAATAAAACTTTACAGTAAATACAACTTTATAAAGAATTCTTCTGGCCTGGCGCTGTGACTCATGCCTGTAATCCCAGCACTTTGGGAGGCCAAGGCAGGCAGATCATGAGGTCAAAAGATCAAGACCATCCTGGCCAACATGGTAAAACTCCATCTCTACTAAAAATACAAAAATTAGCTGGGTGTGGTGGCATGTGCCTGTAGTCCCAGCTCCTTGGAAGGCTGAGGCAGGAGAATCACTTGAACCCGGGAGGCAGAGGTTGCAGTGAGCCGAGATTGTGCCACTGCACTCCAGCCTGGTGACAAATCGAAACTCTGTCTCAAAAAAAAAAAAAAAAAAAAAAAATTCTCATTTAATTTGGTGTATATCTTATAGATTATATGGAAGCAGGTATGGTAAATTAAATACTATTTCCATATGTGATATTTTTTTCATTATTGACTTTAAAGGGCATCTAATTTTCTTAGAAATTGCTATATGCTTTTTATGTTTATTTTTTGAGAGATAAGGTCTTCTTATGTTGCCCAGGCTGGCCTTGAACTCATGGGCTAAATCCTTCCTCCTGCAGTCCTCCTGCCTCAGCCTCCCAAAAAGTTTGGACTAGACGTGAGCCCAGCATCTGTAACCTTTTAAGTATAGACAGCTTTTAATTTGAAATTGTGCTTTGTTTGTTTGTTTTCTGATAATTTCTAACCTGTAACAGGAGAAAACCTAGACAGGAGTTACAAATTACAGTACTAGGCTGTGATTCTGTAGTTCTTGTC